GAGAGAGAGACAGAGAGACAGTGACAGAAGACTTGTATCAAGACAAGGAAGTGCTTCTATGAGCTAAAAAATTACCAAAAAATTTTTTAATAATTTTTTTATTGTCTAAAGTTTTACATATGTCTCCTTTTTTCCCCAATTGACACCCCCCCCACCCCAGCCATTCCCACCCCGGGCAAGCCCCCACCGCCCAGGGTCTGTGTCCATTGGTTATGCTAATATGCATGCATACAAGTCCTCTGGTTGTTCTCTAACCCCCTCTCCCCTACCATTTGTCTCTAGATCGATCTATTCTTGTTCATCAAATTATGTTGATCATTATATCCCACATATGAGTGAGACCATGTGATATTTATCTTACTCCGACTGACTTATTTCACTTAGCACAATGCTCTCCAGTTCCATCCATGTTGTTGCAAATGGTAAAAGTGCCTTCTTTTTTATAGTGGCATAGTATTCCATTGTGTAGATGTACCACAGTTTTTTTAATCCACTCATCTGCTGATGGGCACTTAGGCTATTTTTTTGAGAAATGAGAAGGAATGTCACAGAAGAGTAAGCACAAAATATCTCTTCCACATTGGTACTCAGAGAAATGCAAACGCTACACTGAAATTTCACTTTATATTATTAAATGAGAAAAAACATTCTTTAATGTTTGACCCTAAGTTAACTTGGAACCAGTTCAGCATTCCCTGGTAAGGTTGGACATGTGAAAGCCCTGTGGCCCACACTCCCAACGTGCATGAGGAAGGGTGTTCGTGAACATGTGTAACTGTGTCATTCATATGGAAAAACCTAAATGTCCACCAGTAGAATGAATGAGAAAACCCTGGTAGGTTTTTTTTATAGATGCACAGCAGTGAACAAACCACAGCTCCGTGCACCACGGTGGCTGGGTCTAAACATCATGGTTGTGAGTGACGGAAGGAAGTCTCGGAGGAAGGCATACAGTATGATTCCATTCATGCAAATTCCAAAATCAGGAAAACTGAAGAATATTTTGTTTACTAATAAACACATGGGGGGTAAAAACTATCAAGAAGGGAAGAGAATGATTAGCACGAAATTCCGCTGGGAGGGACAGGAACTTAGAGGCTCTGGGGTTATTTCTTGGCAGTGTCTTCTTCACAGTTAACTCATTTTAATTTTTAAAAACTGTATGCATGCATTTTATGGACATTAAACGCATGTTCTGTTGAACATTTTCTAAGGAAAAGGGGAGACTTGAGGCCAGTTAAGCTGTGGCATGATGGAATTAAGAATGAGACTCCCTGGGGCCTCAGTGCAGGGAGTGCTGGCCTTCACTCAGGCTCAGTGGCTTTCCCTTCTCAAAAGGCCCAGTCCCCCTTCTTCACTGACTAATGTTTATATTGTTGCAGTATTTAAACTTCTGTTATTGGTTTATAATTTTTCTAATTGGCCTATAGGAAAGTCTAAAAGTTAAGTTATTAATTAAGATGAACGAGGATGCCTCATTAATAATCACTGAACAGAATATAAATATTTTAAATCTCGGCTATGCAGATGGAAGGGATAGCTGTGCAGTTGTAGGTGATGGAGGGCGGGAAGGCGGGCGAGAATGGGTGGGGGGAATTTCCTCATTGTGCATAGTTTCAGAGGAAAGATACTGTCAGAAGTTGATTAATCAATAAATGGATGATTAAATGTACTGAAAGTTATAAATACTCACTGGAGGCAGTAAAAGTAATGAAAGGACTAATAAAATTGTAAGGAGAGGGGAGGTGGTAGTATATTAAGTACCTTATCTCGCATCCTTCATATCAGAGATCTTTAGGTGCCCTCTAACGTTGACACATCTAGAAATACGTGTGTTACTCAGAGTGATGGCTGAAGGGCTCACAGAATAAAACCAGAAGCAAGCAAAGGTGTCAGCTTTTCTCTGCTGGTCGATTGTTTTACCATGCACGTGGATTACTTGTGTTATAGAGAAGAGTTGTAGTTTAGCAAACCTTACCTGTGCAGCAGAATCCAGCCTAGCGCAACCTATATTTGTCCCTGTTCAGACATCCTGGGTCCCTCTCCGGGCAGGGTGATGGAGAGTGTGAGCCTCCAGCCGTGCACTCGCTTAAGCGTCTGAAGGGCACAAATTCGGTATTTTTTCTTTTGTGACTTATTGGAGTCATCAGATTGTTTAGTATTGGAACTGTACATTCATCTCTCCCCTGTAGTGTGGGTTCTGTGCTCATGACAGGCATCAAACAGAAGACAGACGCTGAGCGTGCAGTGTGTCAGGGACTGTGCAAGGCACAGGGAGACCCTGCGAAGCATCAGGTTGAAAGTACACATATACTACACATATGTACCTACATGATTTACTTGTGTGTACATGTGTCTGTGTGTGTGAGTCCTTGCTGTGGCTCATTTTCCCCCTCTTCCTCTCTGTAATTGTATTTCCATGTGCAGAATGACCGCCCTGCACCCGGGCCAACCTCTCCTGTCCATTTCCTTAATGATCCATGCCGGTTCCCTCCCAAAGGAACCCGCGGGGTATCCATCATGAAAACAGTTGACATAGCCAGGATGACCCCAGTCCTCTTTGGTAGCTGCACGGAAACATCTAGCTTTCATGCATAATTTTCCCTTGGGTCATGAGAAAGAAACGATGGCTCTTAATGACGTAGGCACTTAAACATTTCAAGGGAACTTCAGATATTGCATCACCTACAATTGCAAGATGTTGGGAGAATCTTATTTCATCCTTTTTGAAAGACAAAAATAATTTGGTCCCTTTCTCCCTCCTGCACCTACTCTTCCCCAGAAGGTGCTGCGCACACTCCCTCCCAGGCTGTTCCTAAATGTCTCCTTTGGCCCGGGGTGTCCTAGCTGCTGGCCAGAACCTCCTCTCTTGTCCCTGTCGCCACAGCAGAAGTGCTGCTCAGGGCAGCTTTGTCCCTGCGCTGGTCCAGCCCTACTCCCAGCCCCCGGCCCCACGTGCAGAGGCCTGTGTCCTCTCCACCTGCGGGTTCTTCGGCAGAATTGTTGGCCAGGGAAAAACATTTACTCAAACATCCAAACTGTCTTCGTTGACAGCCCCGGTTTCCTGTTTTCTTGACATAAGTTGTTTGGAAATGTTGACTGTTTCCTGCTGCTGCCTGGCTATTTCACACTCCATTGTGATTGTATTCGGTGTGGCTGCAGGCAGTGCGAGGCTGGGGAAAGCAACAACTTCCTCCAAATTAAAGGGAGGGGGACCAGTCTGGTGACTGGAACCTCCACGTAGCTTTCTCTCACAGAGCGCGGGTATCACTAACTAGGTAGGGTTCTGGCAGGAATTGCTGCCGCTGCGTGGAAGAATGACTCTGGAAAGGACTGAGGAGGTTGTTTTCCAGCTCTCAAGCCCGTGATGAGGCCTCACGTGTCTGAGGCACCACAGGCGTGGCCTGGAGGACGGACGCGACAGTACGAGCTCTAGAGCCACTTCATTGGTTTGCCGCCTCTACTTGCGCTTCCACGTGGTTGCCTATGCACGGGGCCCGTTAATCAGCATTTGTCACCCAGGCAGTGAAGTCCATGGTTGGCTTTCTGATGAAGTGCTGTCCCTCATAGCTGTTCCCGTGCCCAGTTACCTCTGTTATATCTAAGGCAGACGTGTGAACCACATCTACTGGTCTTCTTTCTCTCACAACTTTAATTTCCTAAAAGAAAAAAGAAGAAATGATCAAGTTTGCTTTGGGGTTCAGTTTGGACAATATCTTCAGAATGTGATCATCATGCAGTGTAGGGAGACCATGCTGACAAAAGGGGCCTGCACATGCGTAGGCCTGGGCCCCCCCCCCCCCCCCCCCCCCCCCCACACACCC